TCCCCCTGCCCTTCATAAACACCTTGTTCTGGCATTTTGTTCCTGTCTTTATTCTGGGGGCAGAAGTAGGAAAGCACCAGGGAAAAGAGACATCAGATACCACTTGGACATGGACAGAGGAGGTAAAACAATGGGATGAACTCTGAATTTCCAGTTCCTGAGTCTGACTTTGGATTCTGGCTCAGCACACTGCAGCTTTTTCCCCCAGCATGGCTAGTGCAGAAGGTTTGCTGGAGGGGTCTGCAGAGAGCAGCAGCCCCAGGCACGGGGAGGGGCACTGGTGCTGGTGCCAGGCTCTGGAGGTGGTGACTCTGCCTCAGGTGTGCCCATCACCTGCAGCAACCCAGTGGAGGTGGTTGTGGAGGATGGGGCACAGACCAGCACAGCTCACTTCACCTCGGGTCTTGCAGGATACAGGGGCCCTTTCCCAGAGCTAGGGGAGTAAAACACCCTGCAGCTCATCTCTGCACTCCTGTCCCTGTCTGATTGATATCCAACAGGACACAGAATGGAAAAGCATCATCACACGTTTAGATGGGATCTTTCATCCTTACGGTTGTTCAGCCTGGAGAAGAGAAGGTTCCAGGGAGAACTTAAGAGTCTTAAGAGCATAGCTGAAGGGGCTCCAGGAAAGCTGGGGAGGGACCTGGGACAAGGGCAGGGAGGGAGAGAACAAGGGGGAAGAGGGGAGATTTAGGTGAGACATTAGGAGAAAATTCTTCCCTGTAAGGGTGGGGAAACACTGGAACAGGTTACCCAGGGAGGCTGTGGCTGCCCCATCCCTGGCAGTGTTGAAGGGCAGGTTGGATGGGGCTTGGAGCAGCCTGGGCTGGTGGGAGGTGTCCCTGCCCATGCAGGGGGGGTTGGAACTGGATGATCTTCAATGTCCCTCCAAGCCAAACCAGTCTGGGCTTCTATGATTCTTTATGGTCACAAAGATGTTATTAAAAGATCTCTCAGCAATGAACTGTGGCTGAGTGTTACCTGCCCTAGCCTAAGCTCTGGTGTTTTGACAACGTCACAGACACGGATTTCAGGTCCAAAATCTTTGCAGTGAGCAGAGGGCAACTTCTCTAATGACATTTGGTTTGTACTGAATAAAACTTGAGCTTTTCGGTGCATTTCTATTTTCCACCTCTTCAGGTGCTACTTCATCCCCAGGACTCTGGGGCTTGGGCTGAGTCACAAGAGACCACGAATTCTCATCACTTCTTACAACTTTAAAGCACTATTGAGCACTCACTGAACAGGTAGAAGCACCATTTGTGGGCCCATTGCTCCTGGCACCAGCTGTGCTGGCACTTGGCAGCTCCGCAGGATCCGTGGTAAGAGAAATCCAGCATCTCCTCAGTCCCTTCCCAGCTGCACAACCTGCCATTTACTGCTTCTGTTACAGCTGGAAACATCACCCTTGGCCTCCTGTGAGGAAAAGCCTTTCAGCCTGGAGGAGATGAGGAGAATCTCATCAGCACTTATAAATGCCTACAGGGATGTCAGGGGGATGTCAGGACCAGAGTCTTTTCAGCAGTGTCCAGTGACAGGACAAGGGGCAATGGGCACAAACTGGAGCACAGGATATTCAAGATAAACATAAGGAAAAACTACTGTGAGGGGACCAGAGCCCTGGGACAGGCTGCCCAGGGAGGCTGTGGAGTCTCCTTCTGTGGAGATACCCCAAACCCATCTGGGTGTGTTCCTGTGGGATCTGCTGCAGGTGACCCTGCTCTGGCAGGGGTTGGACTGGGTGATCTCCAGAGGTCCCTTCCAACCCTGATGACTCTGCAATAGTGATTCCTGCCGGGGCTTTCAGGGTGTTTGCAGCTTCAGGGCACATCCAGGGGCGGTTCGAGGCCGTGAGAGTGTGCTGAGAAGAAAGCAGATTTCATCTCAAAAGGCATAAAACAATTCATGAGCTCCAGCCCAGCAGAAACTCCGCCCCACTCCCGTCTCAACTCGTCTGCCCTCTGGATGTTGTTAAGGAGACGAACAGCCCTGTTCAGCACTGTTACCTGGCTCCCCTTTGCCAGCAGTCCCCGTGGAGCTGGGACCTTACTGGTTTAACCTGGACTTCAATCCCGGCGGGTTTGTGCGGTGATTCCTGCCGGGGCTTTCAGAGTGTTTGCAGCTTCAGGGCACATCCAGGGGGGGCTCGAGGCCGTGAGAGCTGTGCTGAAAAGAAAGCAGATTTCATCTCAAAAGGCATAAAACAATTCATGAGCTCCAGCCCAGCAGAAACTCCGCCCCACTCCCGTCTCAACTCGTCTGCCCTCTGGATGTTGTTAAGGAGACGAACAGCCCTGTTCAGCACTGTTACCTGGCTCCCCTTTGCCAGCAGTCCCCGTGGAGCTGGGACCTTACTGGTTTAACCTGGACTTCAATCCCGGCGGGTTTGTGCAAGCCCAGCACCAACAGGGGGCTGGAAGGAGCAGCAGCAGCTGTTGCAGGAGCGGCAGGACCTGCCCTGCTCCTCACTCGCAGCTCCTGCCCAGCACATTTTTCAGCTGGACATGTTGTAGCAAAAGGAACCACTTTTCAGAAACAGCCTGTATCATTGGGAAAGACCATTTTTTGACAGAAAACCCCACAATGACTATTTTTTTTTCCCCCAGGAAAAGGGCACAGATTTCTAATAGAGCAACAGATGCACAAAATGCAAAGCTCAGGTCCCTCTGAAGAAGGCACCTCTTTGTTCCTGAAGGAATAGGACTCTGACTGCCTAATTATCAGGAATTAAATGTGTTTCCTGGCTTTTCACAGCAGTCAGGTTTTTTTGCTCTTGCAGTAGACTTTTTTTACAAACGCATCACTGTGGTGTTGGTTTAAAGCTGGCTTTTTAGGGGAAGCACCATTTTGGGAAGCACTGAGCTCATTCTGGGTGAGGGACTGGGTCCTCCAGCCCGTGACTTCCCACTGGATGGTCCCTGGGCTTTGAAAATGAAGATTTGAAAATAAACTCGATCCAGCATGTTTGTGTAGGGCCATAACCTGGGGCAGGTCAGAGGCTGCTGGGTGGGCAGCAGGGCTGTGCCCCTCAGGGGCCAGCGAGAAAGCTGGGGAGGGACTGGATCAAAACTAGAGGTGGGTAGAGGGGAGTGGGATGTTAGGGAGTTGCTCACCAGGAGAGTGGTGAGAGCCTGGCCCAGGCTGCCCAGGGAAGCTGTGGCTGCCCCATCCCTGGGGGTGTTGAAGGGCAGGTTGGATGGGGCTTGGAGCAGCCTGGGCTGGTGGGAGGTGTCCCTGCCCAGGCAGGGACTGGATGATATTTGAGGTCCCTTCCAACCCTAACAATTCCACGTGTCCCAGCTCCCGGGCCCCCAACCCCCGGGGAGCGGGGCCGGGTTTCCTGCCCAACAACCTCGCGGCGGCTCCGACCCGTGGGACGGCGGGTCCGAGTGTCCGCGGGGGGGAAACCGCATCCCCCCC